GTATTGATTCGAAAAAATGGGTAGATCGGAGAGATGCGTTACAATCATTGCTTACTCTTTGCACTGAGAATCCGAAACTCTGTCCAAAAGCTAATTATGGAGAATTTGTAGCCTTACTTAAGAAGGTAATTAAATTTCGATAATTTGTCCCGCAAAATTTCTTTTTAGATATTATAAGGGAAAATATTAAGTTTCCTAGATTATACGACGTACTGTATCATTTGCTAGCCTTTTTTCATAGCATATTTTTTTATTTTATATATTTCTCGATGTAAAGTCAGAATAGATATAATAGGATGCAAATTCTTTTCAAATGAAATTCGTATAAGATATTAACTTTGAAAACATTTTATTAAGATTTTGGAGAAAGATGCAAATATTAATGTTTGTGCTCTGGCAGCTCGATGTCTAACGGCATTTGCAACAGGTTTACGTAAAAAATTTGCACAATACGCAACCATGGTTGCACCAACGATATTTGAAAAATTCAAAGAAAAGAAGCCGGTTTTGAGAGATCCACTCATCGATTGCATTGATGCTGTTGCTGCTTCGGTTGGTTTTGGATATAGTTAAAAGCATCTAAGAGTTTCTAGTTTTTCAATATATAATGGAGTTTTAGTTTTTTTTCTGTATCTCCCTTTTTTTAGACCACTCTGGAAGCGTTAGTTGAAGACATCCAAGCAGCTCTTGATAAGCAAAATCCTCATATCAAAATCCAAACAAATCTTTTCCTATATCGAGTTTTCAAGCGACATAATCCACAAACTGTCCCTAAAAAAGTTTTGAAATCACTGGCTCTAACAATCGTGAAACTCACTGGTGATTCGGATCCTGAAGTACGGGATGCTTCCTATGCTGCATTAGGTGCTGCTATGAAAGCTGTTGGTGAAAAGTCCTGTATGGTTTTACTTGCCGATATTGCGGAAGACAAAGTGAAAATAACAAAAGTATGTTATTACCTTCTGATTTTTTCCAGTACTTTTTCTTCAGTTAAAACCTTTTTTTTTCATTTCTAATATTGTGTAAGAAATAAAAAGGTTATGAACTGAATATTTTTGAAATTATTGTTCAGTGGCATTTTGTTACTGATGTTCAGGAATAAGATTAAATTTAAATTTACTGGGACTATCCATAATTGGCTAGCGTACTTCAATGCTTAATAGTATTTTCTTTTTTAAAAATAGAAAAAAGAGAAAGGTCGGTTAAGCTCATTCTGATATGCTATATTAATGCTCTGAAAATAAAAATTATAAAATATAGATGTTTAAACGAGATTATTCTTCAGCATTGATTTACAGATCAGAGATTTCTGTGAGAAGGCAATTCAAGAAGCTGGTACAGATGTTGTTTCAATTATGGTACAAAGCATGCATAAAAGCAATGTTAGTCATTCATTTGCATGCATTTATCACATTAGAAGTAATTTGATAAAGATGAAAGCCGAAAATTTCTGGATATTTAGTTAATTGCGGCACTGCTATTGTATATTACTGATCATTTGTTTCGCTGGAAAGGCTTATTATATCAATCGTTTATCCATTTGCCTACATACCTTGTGGTTAGGGTGTTGAATTCTGTTTGTTAGTGAATGGGTCAATAGTGGAAATATTGAAGATTTATCATTTTTTATTAGGTTTGAAATGCTGCATTTTTTGAAGAATTATTCATCTCTTTGCTTTCCCACAAACTGCGAATGCTTTATTTAAGTTAAAGAAAATTTTCCTTGTGTTTTTGTTGTGCTGCAAAAGTTTTCTTTTCTGTTCTGGTTTTTGGATGTGGTAATTTGATTTGCTACCGCCTTCTGATGTTGTGGTGATTACTGTGTTTTATGTTTCCTTTTTTTTACGGTGAATGCCATTTAGCCTGAAAATGGAACAGGTGCTGGAAACGCTAATTCGAATTCAGCTTCAGTAAGTTGCTTTCTTCTGCATTTTCATTCGATTTCAAATCTTATAAAAAACTTGTATCCAAAAGCTTAAGACTGCCTGTTAGAAATTTTTCTTCGATTTCATTGTATGGTGTTTCTATGAAATGGTTCCCATCATTTAATATATTCGTAACATGGTACTACGATGCTTGACAGCAAACTAAAATATAGGCCATTTTCGGAATAAGATTTAAAAAAGCATTGAAGATTTAAACATATCAGGAATGATAAAATACGTATTAAATGTTTGGTGGCAGAATTACTTCAATCTTTTTCTGGCTTTTGTAATTGACTGGTAGTAGCTATTACCCTTCATTTTCTTCGAAATACATTAGTCTTATTGAGTTACTTGTCCAGTTTGTATTTCTGCATGCTTATTGTTTCGTGACGGTAATAATGATTCAAAAATGTTATTTTGCATTTAATTTTCGTGTAAGTTGCGACAGTTTGTCGTAGTGAGCAAATTTTCAACACTGAACTACTGATTTGTTCCTTTCCACGAAATCAGTTTTTCGTAAATAATTTTCGAATATTTCGTTTTGTAGAACAATTATTTTTTCTCAGCCTCTGAAACCGCCAGCGCCAGGTGTAGGAAATTCGAATGTTGGTGGAAAAGCACGTTCAAAGGAGGTCATAGAAGATAATGTGGAAGAGAAGGCATCAAAGTCATCTAAGAAAGAATCAGAAGCTATAAAGGTTTATTTGAATTAAAATTTTTTTCAAATATTTTGATATTACTTTTACTTTATTGTTTGCTCCTCCACATATGTATTATTAATATTATAATATAAGATACTGGAGAGTAATGTGCGACTTTTAGGAACCTGAAGAATTGATGAAACCGAAGGATGAGTTCCTGGTGATTAACAAAGACAAAGGAATCAGGTTAAAGGATGAAAGGAACCTTCGGGCATGTTTTTTCGTTTCTGTAATTATCTATTTTTTTCTTTTTTTTATTCTATATTTTTTTGCTTGGCATTAAAAATTAATTCACTGAAAGATGTTCAGATAGGAAAACTTCTATTTAACTAATTTCAGGTCCTCAAATGGAACTTCGATCAACCTGGTTTTGAGCATGTCGAGCAGCTAAAAACATTGCTGGGTAATGTCATGCAAGCATCTTTGTTAATTTTTCTTTTTAACAAGGATTTCAAACAACAGCTTAAGGGAATCGATATCTTACAGTCGGTAGGTCAATTAATTCATTCATCCCATTTTTTATGAGGCTGTTGGTATAGACATAATAACTCAAAAACATGCATTCCAAACATGCTGGGATGTAAAATGAATTTTGACCCCTCAAATTCAATAATTTTTTTAAACGATTGTCTGAGTTTCTAATGAAAAAAAGTAAAAGTAGTTACATAAGAAAGTTCCTTATTTTGTTTCTTTCCTTTTTTAAAAATTTTTTGCTTTCTTTTTTGTTCAGCTCGTCACTGACTGTCCAGAATCCTTAATATCAAATAGTGATTTACTACTGAAATGGATTTCATTGCGATTTTTTGAAACGAATCCAACGGTTCTGCTGAAAGTGCTTGATTTAACGCAGGGAATATTCAACCTTTTGTTGCAATATAACGAACCTTTTTCGGAACAAGAGATGTACTCTTTTGTTCCATATTTACTTCTAAAGGTTGGATTCTTTCTTGAAACTCTCAATTTCCATTTAATGATCATTTCTTTTTTCTTGTGAAAGAAATTTTATTGTCATAGCTAGCAGTCGAAGCTGTAGATCTTTGAATTTTGGCTCTTCTGCTTCCCATTTACACTAGCGAATTAATTATGTAATGCTTCTGGATATCAAAGTCCATAAGCCAATAAAATTTCCATTACAATGAAAAATTCCAAAAACAGCTATGTATAAGTTCAAGGAAATTTGATATTCGTTGGATAAGTTTTTTTGTCGAAGCAGAAGTTCATTCCGAATTACTGATATTGCCTCTTACTGGCAGTAATCTGAAATGTTATTTGTTTCTGTCAGTAATTCGGAATAAAAAAACCTATTTCTGCTTTGATAAAATTATATCGACAAATCTCAACTTCACTACAAGTCGTAATTTATCGATATAATTTTGAAAATTCGCTTTTTAGTTAGGAGAAGCAAAAGATTCAGTACGCACACCAGTTCGTACTATAATCCAACTGGTCACAGAATTGGTCAGCCCTCCAAAGATATTTCCACTTATAATTGAGGGCCTGAAAACGAAGAATTCAAGACAACGGACAGAATGCCTACAAGTTTTAGAACAATTACTTGATACGACGGGAATGGCCGCCACTACAACACCAGCTGTAAGTCTTTTTACTTCCATTTTCCCGAGAATAGTCGTGAAATTTCACCCTACTCTTTAGAAGAGAGTGAAATTAATCAGCAAATTTCAGAAACGTCCAAAACAGACTTTAGTGAGAATAAGTTGCTTTATACTGAATATCTTTAAATACCTTGTGTAGCTAGATCGATCCTTTCAGTCTCAAGTTTAGTTTTCCGTACTTCTATGGTCGGACACACATGCATGCTATCAATTTTTTAGCAATTATGCTAAATGTATTATGTTTTCAGCAGTCATTAAAACAAATCGCAGCATGTATTGATGATCGTGATAATAATGTACGTAATGCGGCAATTAATGCTATCGTAGTAGCTTGGAAAGAAGAAGGTGATCGAGTTTTTCAACTTATCGGTAAAATGAATGACAAAAGTAAAGCGATGCTGGATGAGCGTATAAAGCGAAGTGGTGTGGTTTCGAAGGCACGAGGTAGAATTATATTTTTCTAATGAACCATCTTTTTAGTTTGATGAGATCAATATCTGATTTAATCATCACAATGTATACAGAAATGTGGTATGCGTTTTCAGCAAAGAATTTCAGTATCAAAGTGTAATAATATTAAATATTTCAAGCAATAATATGAAGATGATGGAGAGAAGATTCGTAATCTAGTGCATAATTGATAGCGAAGGAGTATTGCAAATTAAATATTTTTTATAGGAGGCCCAGAACGAGTTGGTGCCTCAGCCAAGCGTAATGCAAATATTTCTGTCGGCATTAAAGGTCTTCTTATATGTTTACATACTTATATTGCTTTTTGATCGTTCTACTACAATTTTAAAGAAATTACATGCAGCAGAAGAAAGTTGGTGACATTATTTTATCACTTATTTTTAGGTAGAGGACTGAGAAGTGATCGGTCATCAAGTAGAATGGGTAGAAATACTCATAGAAGTAACAGCGTTTCTCGTGACTCCAGCCCAGTTGAAGAAAAAGAAAACAATCGCACATTTACAATGCAGGTATGTGATTTATGATTAGAAAAAGGCATACAAGATTTAAGACGTTTGTGATACTTTTTTGGAGTGTGTAAATCAGTTTTCATGCTTTTTTCAATATATATATACTAAGTTAAAAAATTGGTTGAAAACATGGTTTTATATATAATCTAATGGAAAGTTCTACAATTATATTTTATCAAATTTAACTTTTTTTGAAAATTATTTGCTTTATTTGGCTTATATTTCAAATTTTATAGAGAGGAGATACTGCTGAGCATGGTGATGATAATGATGGAACTCGTAAACGTTTCGCTTTGAATTTAGATGTAAGTTAGGTGGTGATAACATTTTGCTGAAATGCATATCAAGAAAATTGTTGAATGCATAAGAATTGTTCAATTTAAAGGAATTTATTTTTGTGTTAGCTTATTTTTGTTTCAGTTCAAACTCGCGTGTTTTTACAGCTTTTGAAACTTGATAACAATAATGGAGCTGTGGAATATCCCGAAGTTGATATCAATACGTTGGAATTGTTGGAACCAATTGAACCAGCTATTCGTAAGCGCAAACATCCACCACAATATCCAGACCGGGCAGAATCTGTCAGTTCATTGACTTCCTTGGAATCTGCAGCGGGCGATGTAGACAAGGTTTCTTTTGATTAATTTTAAACAAATGATCCTCTAAAAAGAATTCCTTCTTTTACTAAAAGCGCCTATTTGTTCTTATAGGTTGTGCATGGTGTGGCTTCAATGTCACAAGCAACTGCAACAGCAGCTATTAGTCAGTTACAATTTTTATTCGGTGATCCGAGTAATTTTCGTTATGTTGCTGATCGAACTGATGCTGTTGTACAGGCTATTGTAACGCAGTCTTCCATTATACGTAGTCGTCATCTCGATGATGTCAGCGCGTTAGATGAACTAAACGAGCTCGTCCGAACAATATGCCATTTTTTAAGCTCGGTATGTTTTTTAGAAAAAACACAATCATTCATGTTTGTTATCTAAAAGATCGTGTTATGAATTCAGTAGAAATCGTCTAAATTAGAATTTCAATGACATGAGTATCGAATGATTTTGGCAACTTGCTAGTTTTCGAAAATATAAACTCATTAATTATGTAAGGTAAATTGATTTCTGAATGAAATAGTTGTTCTTAGCTTACTTTTCGAAGTACCTTAATGTTTCAGCTTATCAAGGAAACAGCAACATGCTCACGAATTTCATCTGAAGCTTTGAAAATGCTTATACAAGAATTTCTCTATCTTTTAAAAGATGAACGAATGGAACAGTTAAAAGATATTCAATCTGTACGTATGAACTTTTGGTATTCAACATTTTTATTTCAGTGTTGTATGCACAAATTTTTGAGTCAGTTCATAGTTTTACAGATATTTCGTTCACTTAATTACTTGTCAATTCGAATATGCGATAACGCCGATCCAACTGCTTGTTTCCTTGCGCTTTGTTCAATGTTAACATCTGCTTTGCACGATCCGCGAAATAAAACTGTCGAACTTATAAATAAGGTATTAGTTGCAGTCGTCTTTCAATAATGTCAAGTAGTTTTATTTTCTTTCTTTCAACAATTTGTAACCAATGTTTCATGGTATTTTCAACTGGTATTTTATATAATCTTCGCAAATTGGAAGTTACCTCAAACAGATTAAATATTAAAATTATTTTAGCTTGACCTTATATCATTTTAATATTGCAGTGTATTTACAAACAATCCGAGCTATTCCTCCGTGATGTGCCTATGAATTTGGATGAGATCGTGAAAGCAATACATATTTTCATGCAGGAATTCCGTCCTCGAGTAGACGAAAATAAAAATATCAAAAATTCCTTGCATTCAATGGAATTATGTATACAGCGTTTGGTAGCAGGAACGAAATCACTGGTTTATTTAAATTTTAAACTTCTAATAAATATAAAAAGGAAATATTTCAAATACGTGAATATTTATAAAGTTTAAGAATATTTTTGTTTTAGGTGATACAACACATTGGAGAAATACCGAATCCTGATTCAAGCGATGCTGTAATTTACATGAGGAAGTGTGTCCGTGGCTTGCAAAATAGAAGTAATCAAAATAGCTTAGCATCATCAACGTGTGGAGAATTGCCTGGACAGGTGAATTCATTAATTTATATATAAGCAACCAACAATAATTTTTTTCGTAATTCTTGAATCATGTTGGAAGTAGTTCGTTTCTAGTTATTTTTGCGATTTGAGGATTTTTTGAATTCCAGGTGCTGTCTTCTAATTATGAAGAATCAATACGAAATCTGATTTCGAAAATTATTGAGAATCCATTTGGGAAGGTCTGTAAAGTTCATTATCTCTTCTTTTTATCTTTTGCCCCTGATTTCTTTTCCTTCTATTTCTGATCGAATTATGATATGAAATTATGAAGCTACTGTTATGTTAATTTAATTCTTATTAAAATTGTCAAGGAAATTTGTTCAGGGTCTACGACTTTTGCACACATTTCTGAAGATGAATCCGGATGCCCGGAAGATCTTGGAGGAGGAGCTGAAGAAACATTTTCGCATGCGGGTCAGTCTGTTTTAGAGACGATGTTCTGTTTTCACTGCTTTTCATGTTTTGTTTAGTGGAATTTAATTTGAAATAACTGAGCAGATTGGAGTATTTTAGAACTGAAAAGTTGTAAAGATAGATCTTGTGTCGTTCAGAATATTCAAATATTTTCCATAGCTTTCTCTATTGATAACTGCACCGACCAATTTAATTGGAGCAAAATGATTTACTTGTCGGCATCGTAAGCTTTTTTCAGAAAATTCATTAACCATTTCCTACTCACATTTGCATCATCATAAAGGAATTATGCTAACTGGTCGTAGTAGAATTGATTATCTTTACTATTAAAAACCATTTCAAAGAAATTTAGGCTTAAAAATTAATTCCACAAATGTTGCACTACCAAATCTGAACTGTACTTGTTAAAGGGTCATTTGTTAAAGCGTCTTCCATATAAGGTGAGCCTTGACAATTCTCCAGTTTTCTTTCATCTATCCTCAAATACTAATTAAAGCAAACTTCAAGCGGGAATGTTTGCTTCTACTTTCTCTAGCATGGCTTTTGTAACGAATTGCTATACTTTCTTTTATGTATGAATATTCTGAATCACATATGTCTCTATACTATGTGCTTTTCATTTTTGTATTTTATGTTCAGCTTGATGTGGAACGAATTTGCAAAATGATTGAAAGTATATTTTTATTTGCAGGATTTCATTACTCTTCATTTGAAAAAGATGGATTTAGAAGATCGTGAAACACCAGAGGTCACTGATGAATTATATAATGTGGGTTTTTTTTATCGATGTCATGTACTGTTTGATAACGGGAGATGGCCTTGAATTTTATTTTGCGTTTTAGTACCATGAGAAATTTAAAATACCGGAATTTTTTGGTCGTATTGACAGAATATAAATATGGTTAATTACCAATTGGATTGAATAGAAATTTAGATTTAATCGAATTTTAAGAATTCTAGCTCTGAAAATACACGATATGGTTAAGTATTTGTTGGTTGTTACTTTTAAATCTGTTTGGAAATGTTTTGCTATATTCTTTCAAGGTAATGGAATCTATTCGTGCACATCGTGAAGCATTGTGTAATTATCGGCAAACAGGTTGGTGGACTGGCAGTGCTACTGGAACTCTCGTTACATCAGCTGATGAAAATACAAAGCCAATGGCCGTACGTCGTTCATTCCAAAGGCGAGTTATTCTTTTTTTTTATAGTTGAATATTGCCTTCATACCTTCTAAAAAAGCTAAATGATTGATTTTCTAAGTATATATTTTATGCTTCTTTACTGTTTAAAAACTTGGTCTATTGTTATAATTCTCATTACATTTTAATTTTAGGCTACCTCTAGAAGGAGCACCAGAAAATGAACCAGTTACACCGGTACATGCAAAACCCAAACTTACAGCCAGTGATGTGGAACCACTGAAGCAACTACTGAATATGCGACGACAGCAACAATGAGCAAAATTATTCGTAACGATATGCATTAATTTTTTCCTTTATCGAGAATAAACACAAAAAGATATTTGAAAATAACATGTTGACTTCAAATGAATACTTTTGTTTCCAAAATAATTCTTCTTAGTCGATATGATATTTTTAAAAGTTTTTTGATTAAATTCATTTAATGTTAGTAAGAACTAATGGAAATATTTCGAGTTTTTATGAGAATAAGATGAGATAAAAAATAGTGATATTTAATTTTGCGCTATACTAAGATACGTGAAGAAAATTAAATAAAAAAAGATTAGCGAAACAAAAGTACTTAAATAGAACGTTATGAACTAATTGTGTTATGATTGTTTTTTTTTTTTTGCTTGCAATTTTTTATTTGTCGATTTATGTCTTCATTCTTTAATTACTTTCACTCGCATTTCATTTCAGCTATATTTTATTCCATTATTTGATTTTATTGTTGTTTTTTACTTTGCTATTTTTAGAAAATGTTTTCAGCTTACTTACTGGCTTTATTATATGTTGAAAATAAGCTTTTCATGTTGTCTTATTCATATATCTTTCATAAATGGATATGTCGTATGTTGTGTGTGTGTGTGTGTGTGTGTGTGTGTATGAATGTGTGTATTTGTACATCAGTGTGTGAGTATGAATGTTGCACCTCTACTTGATGATTGCTAGTACTGGAGACGGGTGTTTTGTAAAACAATTTATATATGGCATATTAATAGTTTCTGAATAAAAATGTTTCACTGTCAACGATAATTTCTCTTTTTCGATAACAAAAGAGTAATGGTAAATTAATCTTCAAGAATATTTTTTGATAAAGATTATTTTTGTTTTCAATTTTTGTAGTTTAGTCGATGTTTTCATATTCCAATTACGAACAGAGCAGCCAACGAATAAACGATTAGCACAGTGAATGTTGGAGGAATAAATAGTAATATTCGATGTACAGTTCCATTATAGGTAATGCAATACATTAAATATTCGAGCGTGGTTTTGATATTTCGGGATTGTTTTTAACATTTTATCGGGAATGTACAGGTGAAGTATAAATAAATAGAGGAATTGTTGCATTTATGCATTCATACTGCCCTGTAAAAAAAGGATAATAGCTGCTACCAGGTTGGTTATTAAATTAATCACCTGGCTACCATTGTTTTTGGTCAGAGATATTCAAAGTCCGTATTTCAATAATTCTGCTGCGATTGGAAATAAACTTTGACGTGAAATTGTTGAAGACTGTTGGGGCTGAGTGGTCTAGTGGTATGATTCTCGCTTCGGGTGCGAGAGGTCCCGGTTTCGATCACCGGCTCAGCCCACCTCGTTTGCTGGTTTTGAAAACGCAGATTTTACTTGAGCAGTTCTTGTCAACATCGATACGTTTGTTGGAGTCTTGATGAAACAAAGTACACAAACACACCTTGTCCAAGTATCAACTACTTGTTTGCTTCGCAGTTCCGATTCTTGCATTATGGAATGCTGCGGTTTCCTTAATTTGTACTGTTATTCGTAATTAATTACGTCATTGAGCAGTGCTTTGATTCTTTCGATTTACCTGATTTCATCAGACAAATACCTTTATCCAAATGCTTTTATATTCTGCTAGATACTTCAAATATTAGTGGATTTTGTACAAGTACCTCATTAGCATTAATACCTGCTCGTTAACATAGCTATTAATGTTTATTTGTCAAAATAATCATGAATTAGAGATTGTTAATTCTTATTTTCGAGTTTATCAATTTTTTTCTTTTTTTGAGACGTCATCGGAAGATAGCTCTCAAAATTTCTCTTTGTGGAAACTATTCCACAAAACCATTTTTTGCAAACAATTCCGGTTATTTTAGCGCTTTATATAAGTTTCAATCGATAGTAGTGTATTGAATGAAATTTCATCGAAATAGCATGAGTTATAAGAAGATTAATATTAAGTACATTCATAGAGTCGGAACTAATTTGATTATATTAATACATTCATAAAGTCAGAACTAAATTTGATTATATCATTGGCAAAAATGAAAGCATAAATGTTTTATGTATAGGGAAAGAGGGTGAATGGTTGGTTACTCATTGCTGATCCTTTATCATTATTTGATATTTTAAAAAAAATGTTTCAATCAACTTTCAAATTAAATTAGTCATGAAGCAAAATTAGAAGATAATAAGAGATGTATCTTCTGTGACAAAAAAAAAGAGATCACAGTAATGAAGTAGAAAGTGATGATAAGATGGAGAGTACGATACAATAATGTAATGTGCTTTGAAATGGAATGGAATTGCTTCTTTGTCTAAAGTGATAAAAAAATGGAATAAATGATATTGGATTCCTGTCAGGCTGAGTTCAAATTGACGTTTGAAGTGAAATATTCTCGAGGGAGTATCATTCGGGAATGCGGAAAACGTTTCGCAATGCTAAAAATGTTCTTTGATTGCTAAATGAATCATATATTTGACAATTTTTCCTCTCACAAAGGTATGTAAATTGATTACAAGTCTCGTAAATTCGATCAAAGAACAATTTCACCATATTCATTCCGAAATATTAGCTTAGCAGTTATTCTCGATTTTGATAAAAAGTGACAACAAGCGATTTGTCTGTTGTGTCGCATAGATGCTAGTTTTATAGATATAATGCCTATATTTTCTGTTAACTTTTTTAGCTTGCTTTTTAAAACTTTTAAGAAAGACAGGAAAGCTGTGAAAAAATACGGCAAGTTAGAGTGATTAATGACATCGAGAATTCATAGAACGTATGGAGAATTAGAGATTAAGCAATGATAAGATGAAAAATAATAGAGAGAGGAAGTTTTTAATCCATTATTTCCATTTCTCAAATAAATCCACTTACCTTTTTCAGCGTGGTATTTTTGATCGTTTTAGATGATGGCTTCTCACTTTGTCGTCATTCATTCTTTCCCGCTTGTTCTCGTCATTTGCGATCTCGTTTGATTCTCGTTCATCTGAAACATTATTTGCAGGATAATAACAATCATTGTGGGACAAATAATTGATCAAATTATATTCCATGCAGTATGGAATGATGATTTATCTTTCATTTAAGCATTATATTCCGATATTATTTGATTGTAATTTATTTGCATAATTCAGTTTTTCCAGAATTTAATCCACAATTTTTCTTTTTGCTAGAAATCCTTATTTAATTCGTTTAGTAACAATAAACTTATTGTTCATTGTTTTATGTTAGTTAGTACTTGATATTTTTGGAAGAGGGGGAGGGAGGAGTGTATTTTTGTTCCGTTTGCATAGTAATATTTGGAGCTTTTTCTCGCTTCTTAATATTTTATTCACATTCTTCTTTCTTAAAAGCATTTACTCGTTAAATATTTACTAAATTATTCTATTCCATTGTCGCTTTATATCGTTGCATCATTGAGACCATCATTTCATTAGCGAATATCGATTTTTTGTTCCAGAATAAAATAATGGCACAACATTATGGCTATGCTGGGCAACCACCCTATCAGCAGCCAGGTTATCAGAATCAGAATGGAGGAAATCCATATCAGCAAGGTCCACCATATCAGCATGGT